GCCGGCCGGGGGCGCGGATCTGGGGGCTGCCTGGCAAACCGTGAAGCCGGTAGCGCTCAGGCAGCCCTTTCCGCGTGGCTGGGAGTGGGAGGGAGGAGGGGGCGGAGTCGGGGCGGGGCACGGGGCGGAGTTGGGGCGGGGCTGGGGGGGAATGGGCGGGGCCAGGGCCCGTGGAGGACCCTCTTTTTTTATTTGTTAGATATGGTAACCCTACAAATTGTCCATTTGTGCAAGCTCTTACTTGGCCACTGAGCTGTCTGAGCAGCAGCCTTGACACAGGGAGAAAAATGCATCTCTGACGTTTCTCCCAATGTTTTTTTCAGTGTCTGGAGCGAGCAATGAAATTTGCGTTTGGTGAATTTCACCTTTGGTACCAGCTGGCCCTTTCCATGTTGGCTTGCGGGAAGGTAAGGCCTAAATCAGAGAAGCATGTTTTTTTTCCTGTGCAGAATCACATATTTTATATGAGTTAATGATTGTGTACAGCCTATGTGAAAAGTTAGAGCTCACTGGTTAGATTCCCACTGTACTTCTAATCCGATGTGTGAACTAGACAGTTCTCTTTCACCTTCTAGGGCAGGGGCATGGTTTAGTGGTCATTACACCAGAGTCAGAGTTTGAATCTGGGTTCTTTTTCCCAGCTCTGTAACAGGCTGGTAGTATGACATGTCCCCTATCCCCTGTGTGCCTTGGGTTCCCTATCTGTAATATTGGGATAATAGTAATACTAATCTGCCTTACATGGGTATTAATGTTTGTTAGTTGCTTTGAGTTCCTTGAATGAAATGTGTTGTCTAAGTATCAAAATATCATTGTTCTATTTTCTGTTGTGAGAATGAGTATGGCCTACATGCATGAATGGCATTAATAAACATTGGTACTTAAACTATTTGTATTGCATGTAAAATTTAAATTTGTGCTGCTATGTCACAGTAGGATTTTTGGGGACTATGTGGACCATCTCATTAACTTGTATGTTAAATATATTTGTACATTACAAGCAGAAAATACTAGACCAGCCATAAAGCGTGCAATATACAGGAGCAGTTAGGCACTGAGGTGGAGATTTTCAAGAGGATGCTTGCTTCTAAATCCTTTAGGGGCTTTGAAAATCATTGCACACACAGAAAAGATTCATACAATGTATGAATTCATAAACAAGCTATAAACTGCTGGTCAGTCAAACAAGCCGAGTGCTGTAGTGCCAACACCCTGCACTGTCCTGTGAAAGGCGTAGATTTGGAGGAAGATTTTTCAAAGGCATATGTGGGAATTAGGTACCCAGCCCCCCCTTGACTTTCAGTTGAACTGGGCACTTAACTGGCCAATGGGCCCTTGCAAATCCCCAAATCCACAACCACTTTGCTGGATTAAGGAGTGGCTTTGCCTGCTTCCAAGGGAGCATTGCTTACTCCTCTGAAGCAGACAAGACTGTGGTTGTGATGATCCAGCAGAAGAAAGGTGAAGGAAGGACATGCAAAAGCCAATGTAGAAACACAGTGAGCATGTCCACAGGGCTCTTATAGGAACGCAGAGGACCCCAAGATGAAATTCTTGACAATAAATAGGGTGCTAACCTGTTGCCATTAACAATTTAATTGAGAACTCTGTCCTTCTCTTCATGTTACATATTTGCTTATGTACCTCTTCTGGTATCCTTTAGATATTACACATTCAGTATTAAAAATAAATTAAAAAAGCAGTAAAACTCACACTTGCCTCAGTATAAATGTATGTAAATAATTGAAATCAAAGGACATCCTATCCTATTGCCTAGACTTTAAATGTTCAGGAAGTGAAGAGAGCTCTAAATACTCTGAGCCTTATATGGAGCAGAGGTAGTTCCCTTTACCCAACAGTCCTATCTGTGCAGTATTCCATTTCTAGTCTGAAGTATTCCTAGAGGATTCCTGTCGTATACTCTGCAATGCGTCATCTTTCTAATGGGAGATGTGGCATACATTTTTATACTGCTTTGCAGCTTGTGCAGAACAGAATTCATTTAAATGTAAGCACTCAAATGTAGCAGGGAGGGATGATGAGCAGTGTGGTCTGTGTAGACCATAGAATGCAAAATACACTCAAGCTTTCAGAGGTAAGAGATCTGTTTTCACCTCTCTCTCAGCCACAGCCAATTCCTGACCACATTACCAAGACATGAGATCCCACATCCCGAGATGGAACTTTTCCTGCAGCATTGGAAATCAGACTCATAAATCTTTGGTGTCATGGGAACCCAGATCAGTAGACCCTTTTATTGACCTGCAAATCTTGAAACCTTCAATATTAAATTGCAAAATCTGTCCTGTGTAAAAGTGGTGTCAAATCCAATCTTGCTCTCTATTTACACTATGTTCTGCTTGTGTTAACTTGCACTTCATATTCCTCCTTCACCAAGTCAAGGGGTACTTGAGAGTCAAAATTCCAGCCATTTCTTCCATCCGCCAGCTAACAAATTAGCCAAGTGGAGTATGTTGTTTTTCACAGGTGTATCAGTCTGACCATTAGGTCAGTAGTAAATGAGCATACCTTATATAAACGTAGGATTTATGCATTATTTTATGTTAGCTCCTCTTCTTCACAAAGATGGGAACACTGCTCTGTAGGATATTCACATTGGGTAAATCAGTGGTTCTTCGAGTGCTTGCTCATGTCGATTCCATGCTAGGTGTGTGCGCACTCACCTGCACGGCTGCCTGAGATTTTTCCCTTAGTGGTATCCGTAGGCTCGGCTCTGGCGCCCTCTGGAGTCTCACACTTCTGCACCAGTATATGAGGAGCCACTGGCACTGCGCCCTCTCAGTTCCTTCTTACTGCCTGTGAGGGTTGCAGGAACGCCTTTCTCCCTTTACAGTTTACAAAGTGCTCTTAGTGGTTTGACTTAATGAACTATATACAGCTATGAAGTATAGTTAGATAAGTAGTTAGTCTAGATAGTTAATAGTCCCCTTAGGGGCTTTGTCCCTGGGACAGGGCATGCCCCAGTCCCAGGGTTTCAAACCGTGTGCCATCTGCCATAGACCTGTGCCTGTCAGCGACCCCCACTCAAGCTATCTAAGGTGTCCGGGGGAATCGCACATTAAAGAGAAGTGCAAAATCTGTAAGAACTTTACGGCACGCACTCAAAAGAATAGAGACATTCGTCTCAATGCTCTTCTGATAGAGGCAACTTTCAGACCAATCTCTGGAATCCTCCTGCTCTGACTCAGCACCAAGTACCTCAGTCTCAGTATGGAGCGCCCCGCCGGCAGTGGTTTCCTCCCAGCACTGCTCACCATGACCGATGCTGCAAAAGCACCACAGAAAGCAGCGCACTGACTGAGGACCTCCCCAGCCTCATAGAAAGATGGAAAAGGGGTGGCAGGCAAAGGATCCAGGTTGGGCCATCTGCCTCTGACAGGACTGCAAGGTGCAGCCTCCCTCCTCAGGGCTTTGAGACCGGTATGGGAACCGCCTCTGACTGCAGGGAGTGGCAGTGCTCCCATGCACCTTCTGGTGTCCTCCACACCAGAAGTCTTCCAAGCAGTCAGGGACCTGATGGCTTTACCAATGCTGTCTACTCTGAGATACCGTCCCCTACTGGCAGAACCAGTCAAGGCCCCGCCTCCTAAGGGTAAGCCACCCAGGGGTCCACCCCAGTGGCTACTTGGGCATTAGTGCTCTCTGGAGTCCTGGCACTGCTCCACAATGCCATGGCCCCAGTTTCCGGCACTGCACCCATGGTCTCCTACTCCACAGCCTCGGTCCCCAAGCCTACATTCCCAGTCCCCAGCACTGAGACAAGGATCATGGACCATTCAGCATCAGTCCAGATCTCCCTGGCACTGTCAGCCTCCAGCACCAGTCACTGCACTGCCGTTCTCTGACGCCCCGTTCCCAATCTCCATCACCTTGGTCTCTGTCTCCACATGTCTCACCACTGACTCAACTTCAGTCTCCAACACAACACCGCTTTTCGGATCTCCGCCAGCAGTCACCTTCTCCCCGGCACCGTTCAGTGCTGCATCAGAGCCAACAGCGAGAGGCACCATCAGTGCCACTTTGGTCTCCGAGAGAGGATGCCTCCTCGGAGTTGGAAGGGGATTGGAGTTCCCCGAAGGCTCTGGTCGGCCCTGCAGTGGGCGCCTGGCCACACGGGCAATAACCACTCAAATGGCCATACTGGAATTCTTAGGGGCTCCCTATAATGCCAGAACCATACTCTCAGCGGTCTTCCTTCACCGCATCAGGGAAGCGGACTGCGGCACCCCCTGTCTCGGTACTGGAGTCAGATTAGGGTTCCAAAGCAGGTACTGAGGTACAGGCTTCGAGTCAAGGGGAAGCCTCCCCAATAGAGGAAGGGGTACCTGTCCCTTGCCCAGTGTTGCCATCGTCCCCAGATGAGGTGGTCGCCAGGCCTGCCCACCCCCTCCCTCTGGATGACTTTTGGGCACATGAGGACCTCTTGAAGAGGGTGGCCTCGAATTTGGGGTTAGAGGCAGAGGAACTTACTGAACCCTCAGACAGCCTCCTTGATATTCTGGTTGCTGTGGCGCCATCTAGGATGGCACAACCAGTACACGATGAGGTTCTAAAGGTAGTTAAGGCCCTCTGGGAAACTCTGTTCTCCCTGCCCCCAACTTTGAAGAGGGCAGAAAAGAAGTACTACATCCTGGCCAAGGGCTATGAGTACTTATACTCCCACCCACCATCCCAGATCTCTTGTAGTCATGGTGGCCAACGAACGAGATAGGCAGGGTCAGGCGAGCGCCACACCTTAAAATAAGGACGCAAGGAAACTGGACCTTTTTGGAAGAAAATTTATTCCATGGCCAGTCTCCAACTTAGGACCTCCAACCAGCAGTCATTGCTGGGGAGACACCATTATAACATCTGGGATTCCCTGGCAAAATTCAAGGACTCCCTGCCACAGGCGCTCAGCCAGGAGTTCGCTTCGGTCTTGGAGGAGAGCAAGACTGTGGCTAGGTCCTCACTCCAAACTGCGCTGGATGTGGCTGATTTGGCAGCCAGGTCCATGGCCTCTATGGTGTCCATGTAGCAAGGCTCATGGCAGCAGTCCATCTGCATCAACTGTCCCAGGAGGTGCAGCAGTCCCTTCAGGACCTCCCCTTGAAGGGCACTGCTCTATTTTCGGAGGAGATGAATGCCAGGCTGCATGGCCTGAAAGATTCCTGCGCCATGCTTCACTCCTTGGGCCTGTCCACGCCACAGGTCTCTAGGAAACACTTCTGGGTGTCAGCTCTGCCCAGATTCTTGGGCCCTTAGCGTCAGAGCTCCTACAAAAGAAAGGATGGGGGCTTTAAACACCGCTGACCCACTCTGTCCCCCTCAGCTGCCTAGTCGGGCCCTCAGCGTCACTCAGGTGGCTCTCAGTCATTTTGAGGGTGCACACGAGGACACAGTTGCA